GCAAACAATATCATTGTACACTGTATAAACAATACCAACATATATAAGAACAAACAATATCATTGTACACTGTATAAACAATACCAACGTATATAGAACAAACAATATCATTGTACACTGTATAAACAATACCAACGTATATAGAACAAACAATATCATTGTACACTGTATAAACAATACCAACGTATATAGAACAAACAATATCATTGTACACTGTATAAACAATACCAACATATATAAGAACAAACAATATCATTGTACACTGTATAAACAATACCAACATATATAAGAACAAACAATATCATTGTACACTGTATAAACAATACCAACATATATAAGAACAAACAATATCATTGTACACTGTATAAACAATACCAACATATATAAGAACAAACAATATCATTGTACACTGTATAAACAATCACTGAATATTATATACACAATAACAATGTAACGTAAACAGCAAGTTACACCTTTACTGCCCTGTTGAACTCATAATTTACATCTTACAACATTCACAGTAATGAACTCGCCAGGAAAAATCGATTATTTTACGTGAAAATTATATGAGAATCTCGAGAGCAGGTATTCAGATGAACAGCAGTATTTCTGTTAACACCTTCTGTTTAAGTAGTTACATATCTATCACATGGTTCACAACGAATTTGTTAAACAGTGTTGGAAAATGTGCTTATAAACCCGACACTAAATAAGGACACTACCGTATTGGCCCGATTATAAGGTGATCTCGAATATAAGGCGACCTCCATTTTCAGAAAGCATGGGAAGAACAAAATATGTTATAGCGTCTATTTTTAGGTCTACAAAATCAATACTATAACTGAATAGCCTACAGGTGGATTAGTTGCAAGAATTATTGATGACCTTGAGCGAACATCTGGCGCGCATGCGATCTGGACAATCAGGCGACAGGCTAGAGCAGGAAGAACGGGCCCGCGGTCGGCTGTGATTATAAATCGACTATGAATTTTACAGCCTAATTATTAATCAAAAACATCGCCTTATAATTGGGCCAATACGATATTAGTAATTCTACGTACACTGTAACTAAACTAAAGAAGAATGTTGTCGTTATTCTATTCACTTCTTTGACTTGAAAGCTACTGACCATAGAAAGCGTATAAATACTATTTATTTGGTTCTTGAGGTTAAATATTGATTTAACAGGCGCTTCAAAAACCACTTCCGTTGTTGAAAGTAGTACGTTCAGGAAGTGGATGAAGACAATGTTGTGAAACTCGGCAAGTAGACCAATACAGACACGTGGAAGACAACGTTCACAATGAATGATGTGTTATAGTGACACCTGGTACCTTTACATATAAAAAACATCGTCCAACTTCATACTGAAGCAGTTTTCATTAAGTCACTGCAACGTGTACGTTGTCTTCCCCATGGTAAACTTTGTCCACAGACTTCCCAAACGTGGTCGTCCGAACAGCGGAAGTGATTGTCACCCGGAACCAATCACACTAATCAACACGATGTTAATACACCAATCAAACGTCGACTGTCACCAAGAACCAACCACACTAATCAACACGATGTTAACACACCAATCAAACGTCGACTGTCACGAGGAACCAACCACACTAATCAACACGATGTTAACACACCAATCAAACGTTGACTGTCACCAGGAGCCAACCACACCAATCAAACGTCGACTGTCACGAGGAATCAACCACACTAATTAACACGATGTTAACACACCAATCAAACGTCGACTGTCACCAGGAGCCAACCACACCAATCAAACGTCGACTGTCACGAGGAACCAACCACACTAATCAACACGATGTTAATACACCAATCAAACGTTGACTGTCACCAGGAACCAACCACACTAATCAACACGATGTTAACACACCAATCAAACGTCGACTGCCACCAGGAACCAACCACACTAATCAACACGATGTTAACACACCAATCAAACGTCGACTGCCACCAGGAACCAACCACACTAATCAACACGATGTTAACACACCAATCAAACGTCGACTTTCACCAGGAACCAACCACACTAATCGACACGATGTTAATACACCAATCAAACGTTGACTGTCACCAGGAGCCAACCACACCAATCAAACGTCGACTGTCACGAGGAACCAACCACACTAATCAACACGACGTTAACACACCAATCAAACGTCGACTTTCACCAGGAACCAACCACACTAATCAACACGACGTTAACACACCAATCAAACGTCGACTTTCACCAGGAACCAACCACACTAATCAACACGATGTTAATACATCAATCAAACGTCGACTGTCACCAGGAACCAACCACACTAATCAACACGACGTTAACACACCAATCAAACGTCGACTTTCTCCAGGAACCAACCACACTAATCAACACGGTGTTAATACAACAATCAAACGTTGACTGTCACCAAGAACCAACCACACTAATCAACACGACGTTAACACACCAATCAAACGTCGACTGTCACCAAGAACCAACCACACTAATCAACACGACGTTAACACACCAATCAAACGTCGACTGTCACCAAGAACCAACCACACTAATCAATACGACGTTAACACACCAATCAAACGTCGACTGTCACCAAGAACCAACCACACTAATCAACACGACGTTAACACACCAATCAAACGTCGACTGTCACCAGGAACCAACCACACCAATCAAACGTCGACTGTCATCAGGAACCAACCACACTAATCAACACGATGTTAATACACCAATCAAACATTCTGTCAGGTAAAGTTTACGTACCTCGCATCAACAAAAGAGCTGTGTAGCTATCGAAGCCGGCAGAGTTTCTGGCAACACATGTATAATTACCAACATCTTTTGATCCAACGTTTCTTATCTGTAGCTTTGAGGAATCACTCTGCGAGATAATATCAACTTTGTCGTCTGATAAATTAAGTTCTCTGTTATCTTTCAGCCATGAAAACCTGAGGGGTAAACCCCCTCTAAACAAGCCACAGTAGGCAGTTATTTTTGTATCCAGTTCGATATTCTTTGGAAAGAAGAAAGGCTGGATTTTTGGAAGATCTAAAATAAATATTTGAAAAGTATTAATTTGGAGCCAGTATAATTTAGAAATAACTCGTATATTTATGTAATAAGAGTCTTTTAACCTAACTTGTCATTTCTATAACTTTACTAACGATGTTTTTAACAACATTAAGTAAATATTATGTAGAAGATTATTACAATAAAACTTTGTTTTTACAAGAAACCCCATAGAACAGATCCTACAACATGAACACATTATATATTTATTAAAACACGACTAGTTTATATTCTATTGAACTATAATAACATTCGCTTACCCACTGACATCACACTGCCTATTAAACACATTGGCAAAATGGTAATATAGCACTTTGTTACGGCGGCCATTGCTGACGTATGATGACGTCACAGATGAATTTGTAAAGTAGCTCCAACAACACCGTCAGTCTAACTTCACACAGTGAACATAACGTATTAACGTTATGGATTACAACTTTTAACGGCGATAATTTTCAACTTCTGAAAAATATTCGAAATTCAATGAATTCAAGATCTCTTGAGAAACACCCGCAAGATTGCGTTGACTGTGTAAGAAGCAGGTTGTACAGCGCCACACTACGGACAATTATAAAGTAGCCGTTGAAAAGAATATAAAATAACAAAGTAAGAGTTAAGGATGATTAATTAAATAAATACATTTTTCTACATCATTATAATAACATTTATTTCTCATGTTACAAGAGTTGAGCAATATACTTTGTTGGAAATATTTTCTCGTGTTTACTTCACTTGAAATTACCACCATAATGATCTTACAGAAAAACAAATATATTACGTAAAAACTGACCCCGAGTTTGAAGTAACCGCTTTAGCCCTACGTTTCCACGATAAAAGTACACTCTGATCATACAATTTGATAAACTTAACTTACAAGAGACGCTGCCTACGAACGGAATAGGCACGTCTTTCATACACTAGTTGGAATACAAGGAAAATATCTAACAATAAAATAAATACAAAAACTGAACTAAAACAAGCTTAAAAAATATATCTGTAAAATATCGTGTTTTAACACTCACACTTTGGTGTTGTCTGACGTTATTCATTAACTGTAGGGTTAGGATACAACACATTCCAAAGTTGCGAGAAATACTTTAAGCCTACTTTACTGTTTTCTATGTTGTCCGATGTTATTCAATAACTGTTGGGTTAGGATACAACACATTTCAAAGTTGCGAGAAATACTTTAAGCCTACTTTACTGTTTTCTATGTTGACCGATGTTATTGTATTTCTCGTAACTTTGAAATGTGTTGTATCCTAACCCTACAGTTAATCAATAACATCGGACAACATAGAAAACATCAAAATAGGCTTAAAGTATTTCTCGTAACTTTGAAATGTGTTGTATCCTAACCCAACAGTTAATGTTTAAGCCTATTTTGATGTTTTCTATGTTGTCCAATGTTATTGATTAACAACTTACATCTCCATTTGTGGACTAACAATGAGAAACATTGCATTTACTAACATTCAGAAACAATAAGTTCATGTGATTTTAATATAATCCTTGATGTATAAAATTCAATCTCAATTAAAAAAAGGAAAAATTAATTTTAACAGACAGATCACAAACTATAATTTTTGATTACTCAAACATTTAACTTCAGCGTCCCACCTTCTACTATTAACTCCACTGTAAAACTGGCTTTATTTTCCTACCTTCTACCAGTAACTCAGCTGTAAATCTGGTTTCTCCAGCAGTATTTTTAGCAACACATGTGTAATTGCCAACATCTTCTCCACTGAGATTCTTTATCTGCAGCTGTGAAGAGTCTCTTTGTGAGAGTATCTCTATCTTGTCTGCCAGTTCCACAAGAGGCCCACTGTATTTAATCCACATAAATGTAACTGGTAAGGTACCTTTGGATAAACTGCAGAGAACATTAACACGAGTATGTAGTTCAGCTTTTGTTGGGAAGGTGAACGGTTGAATTCTGGGAAGATCTATTGGAGAAAGATCAGTTATCCTAACTTACAGTAGAGTGGAGTTAGAAAACAATCATTAGTGCTACTATTATCTATCTACAACTGAGAAACATGTTTTAAAAAATGACACATCCTGTCTTAATACATTGTGATGATACCATGTTTAGATAAAAACATCATCCCCAAAACACATTTAAAAAAAAAAAAGATGGAATTCATTAAAATTTAAATTACTTCTCAACAATAAGCAAACACTTTTGGGTATCCAAAAAAGTATAGAAGTATGACTAACTAC